CTCCTTCTTTGAAACAAGCATCATTCAGACACGCTGCCCACAGACGCCTCCAGGAACCTTAAACAGAAACGCGGCTTGCGGAGCTTCTCCCTTCCCGAAGTAGGGAGAGCTGGGGGGCTGGGAAGGGCTCTGCTGGGGGCGGCGGTCCCTCTCCTGAGCGCATCTCCCTCCCTGCTGCAATTGCCCGTTCGCTCCCAGACCCCTTAATTGTCACATGGAGTGTTTTCGACAATAGCCACTTCTCCGGTGGATCAAAAGGCTGTAATTGCAACGAGCGCGGGGCTCGGAATAGCTGGCAGCGGCGTGGGGAAAGGGGGAAGATGAAAGCGGCGGCTGCCGCCGGGCTCCCCTCTGTCCTCTCTGTCACACGCACGCACATGCTCCGCCTGGCCCCGAGCAACGGCCAAGGGGTGGACTCCTGCTCCATAGGCAGAGAGCGCGCGGCCGCGTTCACACAGCCCCCTCGACCCGATTACCAAATGACTCCGTTTTCTGAGTTACCACAAGGCGTTAAGCTGCAGGTAACCAAATTCGCCGGACTCTGCTCTACGCGTTCAGCTTCTGGCAAAAAGTAAAATAAAATAACTCAGGTTAACGCTAACCGAGCTTGGAAGAGTGGACAAATGCAGCTGCGGGGAGGGCAGCTATAGAGAGGCCGGCAGGCCCGACCCGGGAGGGAGGAAGGAAGGAAGGAATTCTGCCCAGGCCCTTGCAAGGAGGAAAACAGGGGCGCCTCCTTCTCTTCTTCTCCTTCTCCTCCTGCCGATATTAGCAACCTGGCGGCCCTTGGTGATTTCACCCGCTTTTCTTCCCATGCGCTGCGCAAATCCAGGAGCAGGTTAATTCGGCGCAAGTCTAGCCTATCGGTGCTTCTGCACAGATCCTGGAGAAGGGCGCCCTTCCTCCAGATCCTAAGGGCCGGCTTCTCCAAACAGGCCGGCAGACCGGCTCTGCCCCCCGCCGCCTCCCACTCCCCGACCACCCCGCGCCCCCCTCCCCCCCCTCCTCGCCC